CTACTCATAATTAGACCCACTCATACCCTGACTTAACTTACTCATGATGAGACTCACTCATACCCACACTTACTCATACTCAGACTCCTTCCCAGGCGTACTCATACACATACTTACTCCTACTCAGACCTGCTCATACTCAGACCTTCTCATTGCCTGTCTCATTCAACACACACCACATTGTCAGGATGTCTCAGGCGGGTCGATGGTTTCAGCACCTCCAAGGGGAGCCGCCAGGAGTGTTTTCACGGTCCCGTTCGCAACAATGTTGTGGGGATGCCTCAGGCGGTTTGCCTGCTTTCTGTTTCAACAGCCTTGGCTATCAGAGCAGATTATGAGGATGTCTCGGGCGGGGCGTTGGTTTCAGCACCCCCAAGGGGAGCCGCCAGGGTTGTTTTCACGGTGCCTTTCGCAGCAAGTTTGCTGGGATTTCTCAAGCGGTCTGATTGTTTTCTGTTTCAACATCCTTGGCTGTCACAGCAGATTCTGAGGATGTCTCAGGCAGGGCGCTGGCTGCAGCACCCCCAAGGGGAGCCGCCAGGAATGTTTTCATTGTCCCGTTCGCAGCAAAGTTGTGGGGATATCTCAAGCGGTTTGCGTGTTTTCTGTCTCAATATCCTTGGTTACTAGAGCAGATTCTGAGGATGTCTCAGGCGTGGCAAGGGGAACCGCCAGGAGTGTTTTCACTGTGCCTTTCGCAGCAAGTTTGCTGGGACTTCTCAAGCGGTTTGATTGTTTTTTGTTCCAACATCATTGGCTATCAGAGCAGATTCTGAGGATGTCTCAGGCGGGGCGCTGATTGCAGCACCCCCAAGGGGAGCCCCCAGGAATGTTTGCATTGTCCCGTTCGCAGCAAAGTTGTGGGGATATCTCAAGCGGTTTGCTTGCTTTCTGTCTCAATATCCTTGGCTATCAGAGCAGATTCTGAGGATTGCTCGGGCGGGGCGTTGGTTTCAGCACCCCCAAGGGGAACCGCCAGGAGTGTTTTCACGGTGCCGTTCGCAGCAAGTTTGCTGGGATTTCTCAAGCGGTTTGATTGTTTTCTGTTGCAACATCCTTGGCTGTCAGAGCAGATTATGAGGATGCCGCAGGCGGCGCGTTGGTTGCAGCACCCCCAAGGGGAGCCGCCAGGACTGTTGTCATTGCCCCGTTCGCAGCAATGTTGTGGTGATATCTCAAGCGGTTTGCGTGTTTTCTGTCTCAACATCCTTGACTATCAGAGCAGATTCTGAGGATGTCTCAGGCGGGGCGCTGGTTTCAGCACCCCCAAGGTGAGCCGCCAGGAGTGTTTTCACGGTCCCGTTCGCAGCAAGTTTGTTGGGACGTCTCAGGCGGTGTGTTTCTTTTCTGTCTCAACATCCTTGGCTATCAGAGCAGATTCTGAGGATGTCTCAGGCGGGGCGCTTGTTCCAGCACCCTCAAGGGGAGCCGCCAGGGGTGTGTTCACGGTCCCGTTCGTGGCCGTGGTGTGGGGATGTTTCTAGCGGTTTGTTTGTCCCCCGTATCCTAAGATGGGGTTATTGTTCCCCATATCCTAAGATGGAGTCTTTGGTATTAGTTGGACGTTTCCTCCTCCTCTTCCTCCTTCTTCTTCTTCACCTCCTCCTCCTCATAATCATCCTCCTCCTCCTCCTCCGCATGCCTAGACTTACTCATACACAGACTGACTCATAATCAGACCTGATCATATTAACCTACGCATACTCAGACCTACCCATACTCAAACCTACTCATATTCAGACTTACTCATGCTGAGACTCGATCATACCAAGATTTACTCATACTCAGACCTTCTCATTGTCTGACTTACTCAACACACAGCAGACTGTGAGGATGTCTCAGGCGGGGCGCTGGTTTCAGCGCCCCTAAGGGGGGCCGCCGAGGGTTATGACACGGTCCCGTTCGCGGCCGTTTGTTGTGGGGATGTCTCAGGCGGTTTGCTTGTTTTCTGTCTCACCATCTTTCGCTTGGAGAGCAGATGTTGAGGATGTCTCGTGTGAGGCGCCTCCTGAGGGGGGGGGGGCGCCAGGGGTATTGCACGGCTCCGTTCGCGCCAAAGTGGCGGAGATGTCTCGAGCGGTTTCGGAGCAGATTTGGAGGATGTCCCGAGCGAGGCGCTCATGTTCACCCCCCAGGTGGGCCAGTGTTTGAGGATGTCTCGATCGGTTTGCCTGTTTTGGTGGTCAGACTCATGGGCACATATTCTCTTCAGGATGCCACAGGAGGCTCCAGGAGGCCACATGAGGTCCCAGGAGGCATCAGAAGGCAACAGAAAGATTCAAGAGGCCGCAGGATGTCCCAAGAGGCTCCAGGAGGCCCCAGGAAGCTCCAGGAGGCCCCAGGAAGCCACAGGAGGCCCCAGGAGGCCACAGGAAGCGCCAGGAGGCGTCGGAAGGCAAGAGGAGGCCCCGAGATGCCCCAGGAACAGGAGGCCTCAGAAGGCAACAGGAGTGGCTCCAATCCCATGTGTGTTACGTATGCTCCTACAGATTGGGCCTCACCTGGAGCACGAATCCTTGATGGTATACGTATGTTTCTATAGATTGTCCTTCTGGTGTGTGCACCATCCTAAATGTGTTACTTATGTTCCTGTATGTTGGGCCTCTCCTGGGGCACGAGTCCTTGGTGTTTGACGTGTGTTCCTATAGATTGCCCTTCTCTGGCGGCTCGAATCCGCATTGTGTTATGTACGTTTGCTGCTATAGATTGGGCCTCTCCTGGGGCACGAATCCTCCCTAGGAGGTGCCAGGAGGCCCCAGGAGGCCCCAAGAGGCTCCTGGAGGCCCCAGGAAACCCCAGTAGGTTTCAGGAGGCCCCGGGAGGCCCCAGGCTCATGCGCAGAGACGCGCTCGTACTACTGAGGCTCACTCACACAAATTCATTCGCGGTTAGATTCATGACCAAACCGTCACAACTCAAGCCCGTTTATATTCGAAAACTCTTGCGCCTACACACTCACGGCGGACAGGTCCATGCGAATAGATGCGCATATTAGGAGCTCAACGCAGTGAATAATTGTTGCCGCGCGTCGACCAGGCGGGTGGCAAGGGAGGGTCTGCCAGCGGTATGGCATTGAAATATATGCGATTGCGGCGGGTTTATTCAAGTTCGTTTTTCGAGCACCGCAGACTGCACTTGCGGGGGCTGTGTGCATGTGCATGCATATGAAGAGGTATAATCAAACAACACAGCTAGCCTGGTGATGGAACAAAGCATATGCAGTTGTGAGTACCGCAGTTGTGGGTATCTTCTTCGAAACGAAACATTGTATTGGGTGGGGGAGATGGCGAGTTTTACTTACCACTGGGGCCATCGGTGTAGCCTCCTGTGGGCCACGCAACTCTGTGCTGGGCGGGGGAGATGCATGCGAACTTTGCCACTTGGGCCATCGGTGAAGCTTCCTATGGGCCACGCAATGTTGTGCTGGGTGGGGGAGACGCATGCGAGCTTTGCCACGGGAACCTTCGGTGGAGCTCCTTGCGGGCCACGAAACGTCGTGCTGGGTAAGGAAAACGCATGCGAATTTTGCCAATGGGGTCGGTGGAGCTCCCTGAGGGCCACGAGACACCGTACCGAGTTGGGGAGACGCATGCGAATTTTGCAATTGGGGCCTTCGGTGGAGTTCCCTGCGGGCCACGAAACGTTGTAGTTGGCGGGGGAGACGCATGCGAACTTTGCCACTGGGGCCTTCGGTAGAGCTCCCTGCGGGCCACTCAACGTTGTACTGGGTGGGGAAGACACATGTGAACTTTGTCACTGGGGCATTCGGTGGAGTTCCCTTTGGGCCCCGAATCGCTGCACTTGGTGGGGGAGACGCATGCGAACTTTGCCGCTGGGGCCGTCGGTGGAGCTCCCTGCGGGCCACGAAACGCTGCACTTGGCGGGGGAGACGCATGCGAATTTTGCCGCTGGGACCTTCGGTGGAGTTCCCTATGGGCCCCGAATCGCTGTACTTGGTGGGGGGGACGCATGCGAACTTTGCCGCTGGGGCCGTCGGTGGAGCTCCCTGCGGGCCACGAAACGTTGCAGTTGGCTGGGGAGACGCATTCGAACTTTGCCACTGGGGCCTTCGGTAGAGCTCCCTGCGGGCCACGAAACTCTGCAGCCGCTGGGGGACGCGTGCGAGCTTTGCCATTGGGACCTTCGGAAGGCCCCCCCCTATGAGCCACGAAGCGTCGTATTCGGCGGGGGAGACGCGTGCGAGCTTTGCCACTGGGGCCTTTGGTGGACCTCCCTATGAGCCATGGCATGCTGTTTCGGGTAGGGACAACGCGTGCGAACTTTGCCACTGGGGCCTTCGGTGTGGAGCCATGAAGCGTATGAGGGGCGTGCCGAACAGGTTGACATGCTGAGGGCAGAGGCATGGATAGGAGGAGGAGGAGGAGGAGGAGGAGGAGAAAGAGGAGGAGTGAGGAACGCGGGGCGCTGTCTCTTCAAAACGAGAACCCAACACCACAGGATCGTTGGGAAAAACTGAACGAACTATACAAAACAAAAAACATTGGGAGGGTGAGGCTTACCAGCGTAGGCAGATGGCAGACGGAACAGGCAGGGTGCAGGCAGAGGGCGGGCTGAGGGCCAAGAGGGGGCCTGACGAGGGCAGGCGGGACCAGGGTGACAAGGACGGGAAGGACAGAGAGGGCAAGAGGAGAGGGAGGCGAGGAGAAGGAGGCGATGGGGATAGGAGGGGGAGGCGAGGCGAGGCGAGGAATCGAGGAGGCGAGGGCAAGAAGAGAGGGAGGCGAGGGGAGAGGAGAGCTTCCAGAGGCAGGCTGTTCTGAGGCCCTCCGCGCTCGCTGGGCCTCAAAGGGCTCACGTGGACCCTCCACGGACCCCCTCCCCCGCCGGGAGACCCTCGAAGAGGGCAGGCCGGGGAAGCGGGTCGAAGACGAGGAGGGAGGCAGGCGGCGACGGGCAGGAGGGGCAGGAGGGGCAGACGGGGCAGGATGACGGGGGCCCCGCGGGCGAGGGGCGCCGCCGTGGGGGGAGCGGCCCGCCAGGAGGACAAGGCCATGCGCAGGCTGCTGCGGGACGTGGACCGCCAGGTGCTCCGGCCGGCAGGCCGCGAGGGGCCCATCGCAAACAGTTGTGGCCGGTCCTTTCTGGTTATATCGGGCGTCGTCGCCGTTTGGAGGATTGTTGGGGGCCGTCTTGGGGTTTGGGGGCATCTTGAGGGCCTACTGGGGGTCTCTTGGGGCCCCTTGGAGGCCTCTTGGCGCCCGCCTCCTTGGGCCTCCTGGGGGCCTCTTGGGGCGGAGGGCTCGGATTTTCCGTTCGTGTTACGGTAGCGGGCGAGCTGTCAACACAGCTTGTGGATCCGCCGGCCCTGGCTTGCAAAGGGTGAAACTGCGTGTGGAACACTTGGCTGCCCACCTCCCCTTTCCCCCTCCGCCCGGGGGGCGGGGGAGGGAGAGCCGGGGCCGGCGTGCCTGGCCCACGCTTCCGGGCCGCCCGATCCCTCGGCCTTCGAGGGGGCAGACATGGCACAATGGAGGAGGAGGAGGAGGAGGAGGAGGAGGAGGAGGAGGAGGAGGAGGAGGAGGGGCATGACTCCTCGGAGCTCCGCGGGCTTTTTTTTCTTGGATCGGCGCTGGGCCCCCTCTGGCGGCGCCTCCGGCGTTGCCGGAGCGCGCCTCGCGGCCACCGGAGATCCCCCGCGGCTGCTCGCAAGAGGTACGCCAGATTTCGTCATAAAAGGGAGGGGGTCTGGACCCTCCAGGACAAGCAATTTCAGACCTCCCCCGTGGGAGAACCCTCCAAAACATCGTCCCCAGACCCCCCCATAGCCTGGAAGAGACCCCCCCCGAAATGAGACCCCCCTCCCTTTATTACGAAATCTGGAGTAACCTCTCGCCAGAGCAACCCCGGGTGCGGGCCCACGGGGATGGCCCCGGCATCGGCCCTGCGCGCGTGGACCTGACCCCCCCGCGGCCCCCCCGAGGCCCGCGCATCCGGGGCCTCGCTCCTGCCCGGGGCCCCATCTCGAGCGTCGGCGATCCTGGGCCGTCGCGGAGCCCCACGTGGCGGAAGCACACTCCTTGGGAACCCCCAAACCGGGTGGTGAGATACCCCGCGGAGGGCCCCCTAGAGGAGGCCCTCCTAGAGGGCCTCCTCCGAAGCCTCCCTAGAGGGCCTCCTCCGAAGGCTTCCGAAGCCCCCTCCCGGGTGGCGACCTGGAATCCCCAAAAAAGTCACCGCTGGGTTTGGGGACACGGGGTCGCCACCGGGTTTTGTGACTCCTGGACCCACCAGTGTTCGGGACACCCTCGGAAAACCGCACGAGTCCCCAAACCGGGTGGTGACACCAAATCGCCCGATTTCGTAATAAAGGGAGGGAGGTCTCATTTCGGGGGGGGGTCGCTTCCAGGCTACCTTGGAGGGCCTGGGGGGTCTGGGGACGATGTTTTGGAGGGTTCTCCCACGGGGGAGGCCTGACATGGCTTGTCTTGGAGGGTCCAGACCCCCTCCCATTTATTACGAAATCTGGACTAGGTTCTCGGAGCTCCACGCGGGTGACCTGGGCCGGCGCCGTCGAGGGGCCGCAGACAGCAGAGCCTATGTTTGCTGTGGCGCTCAGCTGCTCGGGCCTCCGAGGAACGGTGCTCGTGCCGATCCGGGGTCCTCTGCATTCGCCTCCTGGCCTTTGCCCTGGTCGAGGTGCTCCGCCAGTGCACTGCAGGTGTGCATGTACGGGCAGCGCAGCTCGTCGCACTTCAGCCACACATTCGCAGATCGTGGGAGGAGTTGGGCCAGTGTCGCTGGTCCCCGCCCGCAGCCGTAGAGGTCTGATCCCCAGACCTTCAGGCGGGAGACCCATTTTAGTGACACCTCACTTACCCGTGTAAGAAAAAAAACAGAGTGCGAGCCCCAGGAGAAGCATTTTGATTGAAAATTGCAATGGTTACCGGGCAGGGGTGACCAATACCAACTCTTCGTTAGAAATGAGAACTCAACAATAACAACCGCAGCAACAACAACGATGAGAACAACAACACCAAAAACAATAATCACCACAAAACATCAACAACAACAAACAACATGTCAAGACTGTTCGCCCCCATCTGCTTACGTGCCAATCAATACGTATTTACCAAGCCCTTGGTACCCGCCCTCGTCGTCTTCGATCGTACCCCCGTGGGAATATATCTTCCTTACCTGCCACGTGCATTTAGTGCAGCCCCTGAAACAAGGGAAGAGAAGACGGGTGGAAGGGGGAGGGAGAAGAATGGAGCACGTGAGAAATTAGCAGGAGGGGGCAAGGAGCAGAAAACAAGTGGCAGAACCAGACAGGCAGATCGGGTGGGCAGACCCATAGCAGGCAGGTCGGGAAAGCGGGCCCAAGCGACCAGTTCGAGCAGGCGGGTTGCTGAAGCGTGGGCCCTGCGTGAGTCGCGAGGAAGTCTCGAGCGACAGTGCGATTCCCAAGTAAATCGTAAGCACCATCAACCACCTCGCCGCCCTGCCCCTGGAGACGGCAGCTAGCAGCTCAGGCGGGGATGAGTCACCAGCAGCCAGCTGGCTCAACAGGACCACCAGCAGCAAGGAACCCCCCGCGGCGGAACGCCGAGTGGAGGCCCAAGGAGCATCCCCGACCCGCACCGTCGCGCCACCCCCACAGCTTGCGGAGGCTGACAGGATTCCTGTACCCCAGGCAGAGGGACAAACCCCACTGGGACATTGCAAGGACGAAGGCGACGTGGAAGGGGTTGATTGGAGAGAAGAGGGGGGCAGAAAATCCGAGTCAGACGTCTACGCGCACTCTAGCCCGCTTGACATCTCCGTGGACTCCTGCTCGCAAGTCAGCCCCACCCACCCCGACGATGACCTAAGTGACACAACTCTCCCTGAGGATGACAAAGTGATCCCTGACCCCCTCCAGCTCTGGGAAACACTTCCCGACAGGACCGACTCAGAAGTCTGGTCCCCATAAGTGCAGGCCGCTTCCAGGGAAGCAGTCAGAGATAGGAACGCCCCAGGCGACCTTCGTAGCAGGGATGATCGAATCCAGAGCCTGAACGACGCCCGGGACAACAGGCCTCTGAGACATGCGGATGGCGAGGGTAGCCGGCGACCACCTGCGAAAGATGACATCAGGGTCAGGGAACGCTCGGCCACCCCACCCCCATGCGACGTCTCTCGGCTACCGCGCGCCACCCAGGCCTCCTGGAACGACACACGGAGAAAGCAGCCACCCGCAGAACACCCTGACGACCCCATGGGAGGCATCCCCATGTACATGTCCCGGTTGACAAAGCGGACGTCTCAAGGGACGAGCCGGCACAAGATAAGATCTCACGTTTGCAGAAGACGCTGGGGGGTGCGTTCAACGGAGTTTGGGGCGCCTGAGTCAAGAGGGCAGCCTCGAGGCAAGGAGCCACTGTGCCAAGCTTGATCCCAAGCTAAACTCCGCACAGCAGTGCAACGGTTTCCTCCAGGCACGGAGCAAAGCGCAAGTCGATGCCTATAAGATGGACAGAGAGCTCAAGCTCCGCGTCGACAGGTCGAGTGTCAAGGATCGACACCGCAGGCTCCTGCAACGCGACGCCAGACCGCACCTCTCGCGGGGTCGACAGCAGTGGCCGCCCACCCCCTTGGACCACAGCGGGCAAGGGGGCGGCACGTGCGGTCCCGCCAGATCAGTGGACCGGTGCATCTAGCTCAGCCTCGTCGCGGCGTGGATGGCAGCCATGGGACACGTGGGGGCACCCAGGTGCGTCTTGGACAAGGACAGACTGGAAGGCGAAGGGCAAGCGCTATTCTCCCAGAGGAGATCACCCGTACGCGGACAAGCGTCCACGAGGTCGGGACTCCTGATCCAGATGACGGGGACGCAACCCGTCTGAGACTGGCCCATCCCCCCAGCTAGCGAGGGAGCACCCACCGCCGTGGTTGGCACCCTCTACCCAGGATTGCCCGCAACCTCGGCACTGGGCAGCTCCCGAAGGGCTCCAAACGTGACGACGCCTCCCTCGAAGGCAGTCAGCGAACTGGTGATCGCCACGGCCCACCACTTATCGTGCAGCCTGCTGCGTGCAGCACACACCACCTCCCACCCCCCCTCGGCCCCTCTCCGCCCGGCATTCGCCGCCCCCACCCCCCACCCCCAGACAGTTTCACCTGCAGCGCCCGGCCTTGGCCGCAATACCTTGTGCTACCTCCGCTGGGGCGGAGGGGCGCCAATACCCTTGTGCTGCGCAGACAGACAGCCCACGCTGGATTCGTGGACCTTGCCAGGCCTCTCCTCCCCTGCGGCCGACTGGGGCGTCTTCGTCTGCCGCACGGGACCGCGGCCACTGCCTCCCTCGGTGGAAGCCACTGCTAGCGCGGGCTCTGGGGTCGTCTGTGTCACCCCCCCAGGACAGCCCCCTTTGGACGGCAGTGACGGGCGGCTGAAATAACCCACCTCCTGCGCCCCACCTCTTTCACAGCACAGTGAACGGCTGTGGTTGGTGACCGACATTACCCACCGCGCCACCCTCGCTCAGCCCCCCCCCCCGTGGTCATGAAGTTTTGTGCATGGATGCCTATTTGGGTCCAGCGGCTTTTGGCTGCGCCCCCTCCTTCTCTTCCTCTCATTCACAACGTCTCCGCGGCTTTTGGCGTCGCCCCCCCCCCCCCCCCCCCCCCCGATCAACAGCGTAGATTGCGTCGGACGCAGAAGAGCGTCCGCCCTGAGACCTGCCCTGGGAGCATCGGCCCCTCGTCGCCGACCCAGCCATGGTTCTACTAAGTACGCCTTGGCACGTCAGCACGCAGCCAGCGAACGACACAGCCCAGCAGCTCGGCAGCCGCCAGCCACCCGCATGCCCTGGCGTCGGAGGCATCCGGCTTCTGCATGGGAAGCGTGGCAGGTGTTGAGTGGGCGCGGCTGTCCTCCATACACATGGCGTTTGGCTTCGTCAAGTGAGCGGCCCCGCATCGAGTGGTTCAGCCTTCCACGGTCCAAGTTCGTTTCGCTCTGCTCGGCGCAGCCACAGCCACAGCCCTCGCCGGGACATTGCATCGTTATGCACCCAAACTGCGTGAGCCTGATACGATGCAAGTGGACCGGCTACCTGCTAGCGGTTGCCAGCCTCGAGCACGCGCACCAGCGGTCTTCACTGGCAGTGAACGGCAGCGGTTGGTGACCGACATTACCCACCGCACCTCCCTCGCTGAGCCCCGCCCCCCCGTGGTCAAGAAGTTCTGCGCATGGATGCCCTGGGTGTCTTTATCTGTGTCCAGCGGCTTTTGGCTGCGCCCCCTCCTTCTCTTCCTCTCATTCACAACGTCTCCGCGGCTTTTGGCTGCGCCCCCCCCCCCCCCCCGATCAACAGCGTAGATTGCATCGGCCGCTGAAGAACGCCCGCCCCGAGACCTGCCCATGGCGCATCGGCCCCTCGTCGCCGTTCCAGCCATGGTTCTACTACAAGGACGCCTTGGCACGTCGGCACGCCGCCAGCTGCCGGCCACCTGCATGCCCTGGCGTCGGACGCACCCGGCTTCTGCATGGGAAGCGTAGCAGGTGTTGAGTGGGCGTGGCTGTCCACCATACACATGGCGTTTGGCTTCGTCAAGTGAGCGGCCCCGCATCGAGTGGTTCAGCCTTCCGCGGTCCAAGTTCGCGTTGCTCTTCTCGGCGCAGCCACAGCCCCAGCCCTCGCCAGGACATTGCATCGTTGTGCCCCCGAACTGCGTGAGTCGGATACGATGTTAGTGCACCAGCTACCTGCTGGTGATTGCCAGCCTCGCGCACGCACACCAGTGGTCTCCTATTGGATGGTGCCCCGACACCCCTCATTGACACCGGTGCTCAGCGGCTTTTGGCTGCGCCCCCCTCCTGCCTGAGACCCGCCCTGGTTCGTCGCCGACCCGGCCATGGTTCTACCGCAAGGACGTCTTGGCCCGCCGTCAGCACGCCGCCTACGAGCGGCACGGCCCAGCAGCTCGGTAGCCGCCAGCCATCGTCTCGCCACCGGCGTCGGGGTATTCGACTTCCGCGCGGGCAGCGTGGCAGGTGTGGATGGGCGCGGCTGTCAGCCATACACTCGGTGACACCCGGCGTTTGGCTTCGTTAAGTGGGTGGCCCTGCATTGAGTGGTTCAGCCTTCTGCAGTTCGTGGTCGTTCTCCTTTCAGAGCAGCCCCAGCTACCAGCCCTCGTCAGTACTTTGCATCGTTGTGCCCCCGAACTGCGTGAGTCGGATACGATGTGCACGCACTGGCTACCGGCTGGAGGTGGCTCAGCCTCGCGAACGCACACCAGTGGTCTTCCGCTACTGGATGGCGCTCTGACGCGGATCAGCCACACCTCCGGTTCAGCGAGCCTCGATGAGTCAGGCCTCTTTCGCCGCACCATCGTTCACCCGGGGTGCTGCAGTGAGTCTGAGTTAGTCGCTCGCGCTCGCACTCTCCCCCTCTCTTTTTCCCAGGTCTTGGTCGGCCTGTCCCTGGGTGCACGCACGTGGGCTTCGCTTGGTCATTGGCCATTCGGATCCGCGTTCTGCCCGCGGCTCTACAGTGCCCCGCTGTCCGTCTTAGCCTCGCTTCCGAATGCGGTTCGACTGGAGCTTGGCGCCGCAAGGGCGACTTCTCCCCCCCGTTCCGCTGCCGGTCGCCGCGCCTTTGCTTCCCCACCTGCCGGGATGTCTGGGCCGGTCACTTGCCGACGCTGTCCTGCGTCTCAATGAGGGGCATTTTGTCCCTGGCATGCGCATACGCCACTGCGGCCAATTTACATCGCACCGCGCCCTGGACGTTGTGCCCGCCCCCTGCCCCTCGCCTTGGAGCCGCGAACCAAAAAGTATCCCCACCAGCCCCTAGGTGTCTCTCGGCTTCCGCCACCCTGGGGGTTGCAGCCTGCCAATGCTCTCGCCTCCTAGCGTCAATCCTTGGCCGACGGCCCTTTGGACCACCCTGGTTCTCGCGCTTCGCCGACGTCCAGGGCTTCGCCTTTGCATTTCTCTTTCCTACCTCGACTGACGGTTCGTTGGCCACGGCCACCCTGGTGCCCGCGCAGTCGCCTGGGGTACGGCATCGCGCTTTCTCTCTCGGAGCTGTCCCTGGCCGTCGTTGACGTTCCGACTCGTGGCGCATCCGACGGATTTGCAGTTTTGCACGCTGGCAACTCCCCTCAGTCTCAGTCCCTTCAGCCACCCACCTGAGGCCTCGGCCGGCGCGTAGCTGTTGCCTCGCGCGTTGCCTCTGCTTTTATTCACTCGCGTTCCCTCTGCCTAATTAGTCTCTGCGTAGCCCGCTTTGACTTGACTCGCCGCCGGCGCGCTAGCCCGCGGCCGCTGACTAAAAAATATCCCCACCAGACCATTCAGAAGCCTTGCCCATGAGAGTTGACGGGGAAAGGGACGAAAAGACATATCCAGGGAAACATCACGAGCAACCAGAGTGAACCGAGTGATCTCTGGAAGCAATGGGGGGGCTTAGGAAGGCCTCTTCGGGGCCGGGGCATCCCTGGGGGCCGCGCGGGGGCGGGGGAAGAGGAGGAGGAGAAGGAGGAGGAAAAGGAGGAGGACGAGGAGGACGAGGACTAGGATGAGGACGAGGAGGACGAGAACTAGGATGAGGACGACGCGGACGAGGACTCATGGAACCATCTAGAGGTATTATTGCGGTTGCTGCTGGTGTTGGCGTTCTGTGGGAGTTTGGGGGTGCCCTCTTGGAACCCTCTTGCTAACCCTGGAAGGTTTCTTGGGGTCATCTTGGAGGCCATCGATGACAGGATGGGGGGGGTCCAACTCAGCTCCCCCTCTCAGAAGCCCGCAATCCGCTCCTTTGGGCTCTCTTGGAGCGCTCTTGGAGCGGTCTTGTTGGAGCATATTGGGAGCCATCTTTAGCCAACTTTGGGTTATCTGAACCATCTTGGAGATCATCTTGGGCTCTCTGAGGCCGCTCGGGGGCCTCTTGGGGGCCTCTCGGGTGGCTCTTGGGGCCCTCTTGGGGCCCTCTTGGAGCCCTCTTGGGGCTCTCTTGGGGCTCTCTTGGGAGCACTGGAGCGCCTCGTGGGGCCATCTTCGAGGCTATCGATCAAAGGAGGAAAGCTCCCGATCCCTCGGGGGCCACGATCTTCGTGAGGGGTGCCAACAATTGGCCCTCCCAGGGGCCGAAAAAGGGCCCTCCAACGACCCGCGGCCCCCGCAAAAAAAGTTCAGGAGAGGGGGTATGGGGGAGGGGTAAGCTCCTCCCCGAAGGGGAAGACGTGTTTTCTGGAAGGGGAAAGGAAGACTTTTTCTATACCACCTACGCCAAGAGGGCTGGTGGGATTTGGGCTCTAGCTTCACCGCCTGCTGCCACTGCCTGTCTTCGCGCACGAGCTGATCCCAGAAATATAACTGAGTGGGTATGTTCCTGTACTGCCGCCTGCTGCCGCCTCGGGGTGCACCGGTCCACTGCCCCGAGTTGTGTACTGCTCGCTTGTCCCGCACGCGTCGATTTCAATGCTGTAGCTGAGGACGTCAGGCTCCAGCTCTGCCTCCTTCTCTCGGAAACTGGCCAAAGCCTGATTCCACTGCCCGCCCTTCTCGCACGCGCTGCTTGCGGCGCTGTGGTTGAGGGCGCGCTGTTTGTCCTTCTCGCACACGCTGATGGCAACCGTGTAGCTGAGCGCGTTAGCCGCCAGCTTTGCGTCCGCGTCCCGGAGCCCCGCCAGGGCCTGCTGCCACAGCCAGCCTCTCTCACATGCGCTGCCTGCTGCGCTCTGGGTGAGGACGTCGGGCTCTGCTTCGTTGTCGCACGTGCTGATCCCATCGCTGTAGCTGATGATCAACTCGCTCGACCTGACTCCAGCAACGTTGTCGCCGCCGAGGCTGATCCCAGCTTTGTAGCTGACCTGCGTCTCTGCAGCAGCGCCGCTGAAGCTGGCGCTATTGCTCGCCAGGTGGTGGAGGAGAGGACGGAGGAAGGGGAAGGCGAGGGGGCGAGGGAGGCGGACTCCGCACCTGGCACGGCGTATGCCCGTCACCGCATTGAAGTTGATGACGCTGGGTACCCATTTCTTGATGCCGACCTCTTGACGTCGACAGGGCGGCTCGCAACCGCAACGCCACTTCGAAATGGAGGAGGAGGAGGAGGAGGAGGAGGAGGAGGAGGAGGAGGAGGAGAGGGAGGAGGAGAGAGAGGAGGTGGAGGAGGAGGAGGAATCGGAATCGGAACAGACGCGAAGCGTCACTTACAAGCAAACCTCTTATTGGTGAGCACGCACGGCACACGCGCACGCACACGCACACACAAGAGGCAAGATAAAAGACAGAACTCTTATGCAACAGTGTGTTCACCTTATTTCATGTCCCTCCACAAAGTAAGCAAAAGAGCTGGAGAATCGTGATGCACAACACAGCCTCCACCCTGTATCAGAAAATGCCAACGCCCTGCAAATGTGTTCTCCCGTCTGCGTGGAGGAGGAGGAGGAGGAGGAGGAGGAGGAGGATGAGGTGGAGGAGGAGGAGAATAAGGAGGTGGAGGAGGAGAAGGAGGTGGAAAAGGAGGGGCGAGGAGGGACGACGAGTGACGAGGAGGGGCGTGGCGACACGGAGGGAGCCCCTCCGCAGGCTTCCGCGGAGAGGGTTTGATGACGCCAGCCCGGCAAGCAGGGGGGCGCGCCGGCGCAATCGCGGCGCGCGGCCCCGTCCGGGCGAGGCGGAGGTAGGTAGGCGCGGGGCGTCTCCGTTTTCGCACCCCGCATCACCATCCATCACTCGCAGCAGCAGCATCGTCGTCGTTAATCACCACCCCACCCTCATCATAATCCGTATCGACATCGGTACTGGCAGAATCATCCTTCGCGGCGTTTCCATATTGTCAGTCGTCGTCGTCGTCGTCATCATCATCATCATCATCATCATCATCAGCAGCAGCAGCATCATCATCATCACCATCACTATCACCATCACTATCACCATCGCATCGTCACCATCATACTCATCCTCATCTGCATCCTCGCTCCTTTTCCTCCCTCTTCATGCCTCCCTCGCCTCCCTCCCCCCTCTTCCCTTGCATCCTCTCCCTCCGCCAGTACCTCTCTCGGGGCCCCATCCTCGGGTGACCTTCTTCGGCACTACTGCTGCTGAAAAGGCGTTTGTGCCAGGCATGCCCACTTTCAAAATTCCGACGCGATGAGATTCGGCGTCTTTGTCTCCCATATGTTTCATTCATCCAAAGTTGTGGTGGCCAGCTCACGGACGTCCAATTGTGCGCAGCGCGTGCCTCCACCCAACATGCCACTGACTGGTAGGCTCAGAGAGAATACGCGACACTAAATATATGCTGCTGGTCCGTCTGCATGAGTCTCCAAAACAATGAATGAAATCGGTGGGCCATTTCGCCTTTGAAACATGTGCGACAAGTATGACTCAGTCCGTGTAACGGCGCCACATCAGCCCCGCAATTCTTAGGTGCGTATACGCGTGAATGTTTCCATTGTTCGGCTGTGTTTTTACGCCCTTGACCACCTTCCTGTTTCGAGGTCGATGCTTTTTGATGCCATGCGGCTTGCTGCAGCGATAAGGTCCCCCGATCAAGCGACGGAGACACTGCAGTTAAAAACAGCGTACTACTGCAATTTTGTAAGAAGGTGATTGTTTGAGAAGCAATGGGAATATGCCACTCAACATGTGTAGGACAATGGCTTCTCAAGGGCGAATATGTATGAGAAAAACTGCGAATGTGGAATACATTTACGATCTGTTGTAGGACGTTGTGGAACCAAAACGTCGGCGAGTCGAAGATTCTAGACCGATATACAAGACATTTTGCGCTATGGGTGGCAAGCATCAGTGAACAAGTGCCGTCTGTGAACATGTAAGAATGCCGGGGTTGTCGAGTGGCGGCTTTTGCGGGCGGTGTTGCCCGTCGCCGTCGCATAGATTCATTCGATGTGGTCGATGTGGTGCAATGCACCACACAGATCACTACATATATTGCACCACGTAGATTGCATTGCACACATTGTGCCGCGGAGATTCTCCTTCCTGGAAACACGAATGCTTCATGATTCGCGTATCCCCACCATCCCATTCAGAAGCTCTGCTCATGAGAGCTGACGGAAAAATTGACGAAGCGACACACCTAGAGAAGCAAAACGAGCAACCAGGGTGAACCGAGAGATTTCTGAAAGCAAAAGGGCCTCGGAAGGCCTCTTCGGGCCATCCTTGGGGGCCGCGTAGAGGCGAGGGGAAGAGGAGGAGGAGGAGGACGAACAGGATGAGGAGGATGACGCGGATGAGGACGAGGATGAGGAGGAGGAGGAGGATTAGGATGAGAAGCTACGGGACTGTTTGGGGGGATATGGGACATGTTTGTGCCCTCTTAAGGCTTTTTGATGGTTTTCGGGTACGGGGTTCTTTTGGGGTGTCTCAGGGCCATCATGGCCATCTGGGTGATCTTTCGGTACTCTCTTGGCGTTTTATCTCTTGGGGCCTTTTTGTAAATTATGGAATGCCTCCTGAGACTGAGGAGGAAGGGTTCTAGATTTGCCCCCCCCTCCGGGGCCATCAAGATCGCCTCTTGATGCGTTGTTGGTGCGATCTTTGGCGGCGTTGCAGGCCCATTAGACTTCTCTTGGGGTTTCGGAAACGAGAATGCGAGAAGGCAGAAATCAGTGATTTTTTTCTCGGGGAGCCCGAGGGAGCCAGAACATGAACCCAATGTTTCGGCTTCACCCTTAGTAGACGGCGGGTCGTCGATGCAGCGGCAATTGGGCAAGACAGTTCCAATTCTTGTCTTGAACGGCACAGATACAATCAAGAAACCGAACCGCACAATAATAGTCATGTTCCACCGGTTCGACGCTAATCCCGCCAGTCATTCGAGGAAGCGCAAGCAGGGAGAATCTCAAAAAAAAATCCAGCTAATAATGTGGCTTGCAATATTCATTGTTAAGATGATAATTCATGACATGCATGCGTTATCCAAAATCACGCAAGCCGCTGACACTCGTATTTCTGATGCTGGTGAGTCCACAGTTTTTGTGGCGATCAAGCCGGGAACGACCTGATCCGATAATTCGACCGAGTTTTAGCCATGACGTTTGGCCGCGTGAGCGCCCCCAAAATACAGTGGCGGCGATAATTCGTCCTCAGTGTTTTTGGATTTTGCGCTGTTTGTTCTCACGAGGGCGCGCACATGCCAAATGCGTGAATGTTTGAGCTCGCAATGATTGTTTACCATGTTGCAAATTTGTTGTTGGAAATATGTTGATTTGAACTCTTTGATAACAAAAGAAGTGCAACGATTGTTTTCGTATGAATCGTCGATAAAAAGGCAAATGATGCATTAGACGATTCCTTAGGATGTCCTAGATTTGTTGGCAGGAAAAGGGAGCGGGAGCAACGACACGCCAAATGCGCGCCAGCAGTGACAATTGCACACCAAATGCGTGCACAGGGCGGCCAGGACGCGCCAAATGCGCGCCGGGAGAACGGAGGAGAGGAGGAGGAAGATGAGCATGAAGCCATTGTTTTGCAGCCTGCCAGGGCACAGAGGCAATCAATAGTAATTACAGCCATTCTTCATCGCTGTCGTGAGAGTGGCCAAGAGCAAACTTCGTAACAAATGCGATCCAAACAGATTCGTTTGTGAGGCAATCCAATAAGTCTGACTCCGAACGGAAACAATATCGGATTTTATGTAAATTGTTTGCCCACTCGTGCCTTGGACGCCCGGGGGCCCGAACGCACGAGTCGGTGGAAGGTCGCACGCTGTTTGGTTGAAAAGTCAACTGTCTCAACAAATCGTCAGCGCTTGATCTTCCTATCTTCCCAAACCATATTAACTGATGCTTCAACAATTGCGAACTATACTTTGGTGCCCCGTCTCTGAGCAAAACTGTTTTCTTTGATATTCGAGACACATACGAATTAGGAATATTCAAGCTTTCTTTGTCTAGGTATTGACGTACGTTTCCATGTTCTCGCGTATGTTTTGAATTCGCCCCATGCGGCCCCTAGTCGCCTGTTGAGTTCGTGCTGGAGCTTCCCATCGTTATATATAGTTGCCCCCAACTATAGAAGACGTTCAGCTGATGTGATATAATGTCCCACGTGCCCCTGAGTCGATATTCTGCCCCTGCTTGTTGGAGTTTCCCAAGTAAAAGAGTTGCGAACATTCTGTATATTACGCATAGCAGACTGATCGGGCGGTAATTGTCGCATTGATGAATTGGGCATTTATTTTTATATTTTGTAGACACATAAGCATGACGCCATTATGCCGGCAGTTATTTGTTCCTCGAACATGTGTGCACCATATGCGTAATCCATTCATTGTAGGCCTTGAGGTCTGATGTTGTATGTCGCCAGGTCCGTTGGATTTTCCACGTTTCAGTTGGGAGATGGCGGCTCCAATTTTTTATTGTGAAATCATTATCTGGGATGTTCAGAGGGAGTCAGTCCCAAGGAACCCGTATCCACAATTGTGGCCGGGCGCTTTTTCCATTGCATTTTTTCCAAATATTTCGCCATAGTCTTTGTTTTCTCCTCGTTGTCCACTATTTCGCCTTGCAGATTGCGGAATTTGCCTTGTTTGTGCGATTTTCGCCGGCACATTTTTTTCCAGCGACTTCCGTTTTTTTTTTTTGCAAGAATGGCGTCATCCACCCATGTCGGCTTATCTCGTTTGATTGCGCATCGTTTTATGCATTGTTTGCCTTCTCGGTTGCATTTGAATTGCAATCTCGAAAGTGACAAGAAAATGATCAGTGGCTAAAGCAGCTTCTCGATGGCTCCGTAAATTTTCGATTGCATCCAGCATGCATGATTTGCAGAACACAATGTTCAAAATATTGCGGGTTGCAAGATTGATTGGCGAAAGCAGTCGCGATCTTGGTTCTCGGAAAATTATTTTTTCCCCAACTTTTCGTCAAAGAAAATGTTTGCAATAACCTTTTTTTGCGCCCGCGCAGAATTCCAATAACAAACCTCGACTTGGTGTGTCCATTTCGCGGATGGCTTCGCGACCCCACCCGAATTTCAATGACGCCTTTTGTCCTGGGCATTTTCGCTTGATTTTTGCGTTTAAATCTCGAAGCAAGAATTTTGCGAAAATTGCGTTCGTGCCCTATGTTCTTCCCCCAATGTAATGTAAAAAATCAATACGTTCCGGGAACGCTCTGACGTTGTGCGGAGCATAGACATTGAAGATTGTAAGTGTTGCGATTTGGATGCAGACATTTGTTTGAAATTTAGTATGTGACGACGAAGACGAGGTGCCATTATAAAACCAACGCCGGTCCAAGATATTATCTTTTTTTCTGGTTTTGGAAAAACAAATCGATATCCATTGTCTTGGTACTTATTTGCCTTTGTCTTCCGAGTTTTTTGGAAGCACATTATGTCGATACTGCGTTGCCCCATGTGCGCGAAGAGTTTTCATTTTTCTGCGAATCCACAAACAGTCAAATTTCTCAATTTTATTGTTTGTATTACCTGCGTTTCCGAATCCGGATTCAGTATGGAGATGGACCAGAACGGATGGTAATGTTGCGAAAATCATTTGTCTCAATTTTAATCCATTGCGTTGTAATTTCCGGGGATCTTTTTGAGGGTGTACCGGTGGTTGTTTGAAATTATTGGTTCTTTTTTACGCAAATGCCGTATTTTTTTTTTTAATTTCTCCGTGATTTGTTGTTGTACACCAACCCGTTTGGGAATT